AATATGAGGGAAGTAACCGTAATCTAAATGTTTTAAAGAAGTAAACATGAAGAATTCACTATTGTAAGAAGAAAACTTAATTCGTGGTTTAATAAACTTAGACTGTTCAGTACCTAAAGATGAATCTTTACAAAATTAATATGAATGACCATTGCTCTTTTATTTTTCTTCGGAAGCGTTTAAAAGATATTTTCAAATATCCCTACGTAAACATGCAGTTTTGATCCCCTTTTGAGGTCTCACCTTATCCTCAGGGATGATGATTTGAACTTAATCTTCACTACCTGAGGATGTTTCTATATTTATATTGATTAGCTGTTCTTGAGAAGAATATATTTTAAGATATTTATGCCCCCTTAATCAGATATTCGTGGGATATAGTTTTTGACCTGTCTGTCCGTCTGTTTAGCTGTGTGTTTGTCCGCAAAATCTTTAACTATAACTTTTGAGTGGGTGAAGCATGGCTATCATATTTCACAGGTTTATTTCTCGTGATAAGACCTTTTTTTCGAGTACCACTAAATTTTACCTTGTGACCATGAACTTTTTTTGACCCACTTTTAACAAACATTTCCGAAATTAACCTTGGTCATAACTTTTGGAATAGTTGATGCTAGGGCTTCCATACTTCATATGTGTATTCACTGTGACAAGACCTTTCAATGTATATAAAAATATTTGACCACTTGACCTTCCAGTTTGACCCCTTTTTTTAAAAAAAAAACTTTAACCTTGGTAATAACTTTTTAACTGTTCGTACTAGGGCTTTCATATTTCACAAATGTATTTTTTGTGAAAGAACCTTCCTGCAAACGATATTTTGACCTTGACTTCAGAATTTCACTTACACTAGAGGAACTTTAATTCTTGCCATGAACTGTCATACATGTAAGGGAGCATCAGTTTTTCACAAACCTATTTTATGAAAATTATTTTTCTTTATATAACCTGAGTTTGATCAAATTTTCTCTTCTTCCATAGACATATGCAAACAAAAGACGCACATTCCTTGAGTGTCATTTTTAAAAAGAAAAGTGTCATCATTTTTTCTGACAGATTTAAATTTATGCCTATATTTTAATTATGATGTGTATTCAAACTACAATGTTGTCTTACCACACTATGTTGTACTTGGACCTCAAAAGCACGATAATCATTAATTTTAATTAATTAATTCACTTATAATGGTCTAGTTATGTGTCGATCTTTAAGATAATATAATCAAGTTTTGTTACAACGTCATTTGATTTATGTTGTGTCGTTTGGAAAAAAGACCGAAAGCTTGGTAGATTTATAAGTTTTTTTTTATGTAGGCTTCATGAATTTGACAAATATTTTTGTTTTTTCTCACTGTCTCTTTTGTTTAAAAAGTACATGATATATAGAGTTTCGGCCCTGTGTTATATAAATATAAGAATAAATGCTACTCTTGAAGAACTACATATTGAAGAAAAGTGTGAGCATTCTTTAATGGTTTATTTTTGTCAGTGGACAGGAAGACTGAAAGTGATTATGCGTGTCTTTCTTCTTGATGCAAAATTCAAATTCATTAGAATTTTCCTGAATGAAAGTATCTTATAAGAAAGGTTTCGAAGTAAAACTAGTAGTATTTGTTTGTTTAAATAACAATCCATAGTATTTAGGCATTTTTTCCCTTTATTTCAATTTCTTCAAGGAAGGATATGGAGATAACGAACAGTATTCAATCTCAAAGTCCATTAAACAATATACAAAATAAGAGCAGAGCAAACACGGACCTCCGAAACATCAGAGGTAGGATCAGGTGCCATGGAGGAGTGAGCATCCCCTGCTGACCGGTCACACCCGCCGTGTGCTCGTTGTCATGATCAGGAAATAACGGAAAAAATCCGTCGTCAATTCAGTGTATAAATAATGGACTAACAATTGGTATGAAAAAAGTCAGTCAGCATTTGACTCAATGATAAATTGTATTTGCTGACAAGGTCATTGTATCGACCATAGAACTTTCGAAATGATGACTTTAAACGAGACTGTTGATATTCTTGTTTCATCAACTTGCTTGTCAATAATTTACCTCGTTTAAGAAATTGTTCAAATAAAGTTATTCAAAGTAATTCAAAATTGACGATTATTATTTATATTTTAAAATGAATAATTTTGCCACACAAAGGTTCCAGCACATGAGGATGTAAAAGGAAGATAACGATTAGTGATCAAGCTCTATGGAAACAAAACGAATTGGGAGCAGAGCAAACACAAACATCTAAAACATTAGAGACGGGATCAGATACCAAAAATAAGTAAACATCCCATTCGACCGGTTGAACCTGTCATTTGTCTCTTGACATAGTTGGACCTTAAAATATAAGTGAGTTTTATATTTAACATCTTAATTTACATTTTATACATGTGTAGTTACTCACTCATTTATCTCCTGCACGATTGCGGTAGAACCATTTGTTCATTATCTTCATCTTTTTCACGTTAATTGAATACATTATAAAATTTTTCACTAGAAAACGTGCATCAGAACAAAATCGTACGGACAGCAGTTTGTTTATCAATTCAAATAATTCCATATTATTTTAATAAAGCGTTCATGTATACACTTTTATAAAAGTTATTTTCTAATAATAGAGTTATAATTGCAATTAATGTTTTTTCTAACAATGTTAGGTAAAGAAAATAGAATAAGCATATATGATATTTATGATACAAGCAGACATTTACTTGTTACAAGAATAGTTTTAACTACTGTTTTGATACAGTAACAAGTACGACTTGTCAAAATAGCGAATGATAAAATGATTCATTAAACAGCTTAATGTCTCATTAAGTTTTTTAGGTAATTAGAAGCAGAATATGGACGAAGCGTTTCTGGCAGTTATATTTTTTGCCCTACAATACCAAAACATATATCAACAATTAATAAGATGTAAAGTGACGGTCTTTTAGAAAACTTACTCTTAATTTATATAATTTGTTTTATGTCCAATTCACAAATTTGTAAAATTTATAGATTTTTTTTTAGAGCGAACTCTATTCGTTATCATCTTTTTCACTTTATAAAACAAGTTCTTTTTGTGTTGGCATACATCATGTCTGCTGTTTAACATTTCAAACTTTTCTCCCTCAGATTGTATGGACTAGAAATCAGAATGCTAACATAACAGAAAAAAATAAAGAGTTTGTTGTTTCAATTTTTATGTAGTAAATGGATGCATGTCATTCCGTTTGCTATTGATATTAGCAGAAAAACCTAAGTTATAAAAGAGTGACAACTACTGCTTTCACTTTTTTTCATAACATTTTTTCAATAAATTTTAGACCAAGAAGTTTAAATTCTTAAACTTGAATGCAGATAATGTTCAAAGCGTCAGTGCAATATATTTTATCAAAAGTTCATCAACTTTGCAAACATGTCCCTTTAAATAGCGACTTGCCATGTTGACAAATATAGCAATGAAAAGTGAAAATTAATTCATAAAGATTCAGTAGTTTCTAGTGAAGACCAGTTTAAATATGATAACACTGGGGGAATCCTGTGAATTTATAAGTTCTTTCAGTCATACCCTCAAATATCTAACTAACATTTAAAAGAAGCATGATTAATATCAAATACATACCATTAACACAGTGAACATTGATTAATTTGAAGGGAGATTTCATATCTGTTTATTTTTTAAAGCAATATCAGCTGCATGTTTGACATCGGAAAATTTTATTGCAAATTTGTGATTGATTAATGACAGAAAAATAAATCACTTATAAACTTCTGTTGTTCATATTTGCGATGGAAATTTTTTTATTAGCACTGATTGAAGCAAAATTGAATTATTGTCGTCCTGTACAATAATGGTTTCTTATATAAAACTGTATATTTGCTTGTACAGAAATATTTCTTCTGAAAAATTTTTAAACTTTATTTTGGGCTTATTGGTCATAAGGGTTTAAATTACATACAAATTAATCATAATAGCACATTTTACAAGCAAAATAAAATTTTCAAAGATACAGCTCATATTGCTTTAAAGATAACAAAAATATTGTTTAAGGTAAGTCACTCGTCAGCTTTTTAGAAAAGTTCACGCAGAACCTCTTACTCAAAAAATATTTATTAAAATTCAATTTTTATAAAATATTTATATTCAACAATGTAAATTTTTTAACATTCATCGAAAAAACTGCTTAAAAATCTACAAAGAAGCAAGATTTATGAGGGACTATTTCTTGTGGTGGAAGGATATTCAGCAGAAATTTCTGCAAATCTGCACATTTATTAAATTAAATGTCTTGAAACTTTAGCCTCACATACTTTTACTCGGAGAATATTTTCCGTTGTGATTTTGCAGGAATATTTAATATAGGTCTTAATTTATATTTTTAGAACAAGTTTTACACCTTTCAACAAACTTTGCCAAGAAATGAAGATATATTAAAGAAGTCAAGATAACATTTACGCCATTTTTTGCCTGAAAATCACATATTTTGACCAATATTTCAAAATTAACATCACTGACCCCAACTTTTTCTTTCATTATTTTAAACTACTTGATACTTGTGACTGATCAGCACTTAACTCCTAAAAAGCTTGATATAAGAAAATATTTGATTGCCTATTTAGTTTTTTAATACTCCAAATATGTTATTTTTTAGTGCAAAAAGGTCACACAATAATAAACGCGAATTAATTTGCAAGATTTGTTCAATGATAAATATCATTCAAACTATTTTATGTAAAATAAGATTTAATTTATTAACGTAGTTACATCTGATAAATTAAAATTAGGATAAAGTAATAAATCAAAGACTTAAAATTTAAGTGCAAAAAGGTCAACTTAATTGAACCATAGATCAGTAAGATGCACACTGACCCCCTATTTTCTCTGCGATTTTGAGTAATACTATATGAGTACTTATCCAAAATATACTTCCCAAAAATTCCTTGATATAACAAATATGAGGAGTGACTTACCTTAAATCTTTCAATAATACAAGTAATTATAAGGAACTTCCATATTTAAAAGAATTACATGTTGGGAAATATATTTAAAATTAAGAATGCCATGGTTTTCTTCACTTTTGCATCAGAGTCAGATAAAATACGAAATGAACAACATTTTCACAACCATAACATATTTACACAACTTGTAAAATAAAATGGGACATGCATATTACTTTTGCTGAGATTGACGTTAGAGCCTAAAAACCATGTTCTTTACAAGATTTGATGAATGCCATATATGAAGGATATGGAGATAACGATCAGTATTCAATATCAAAGTCCATAAAACAATACAAAATAGGAGCAGAGCAAACACGTACTTCTGAAACGTCAGAGGTGGGATCAGATGCCTGGAGGAGAGAGCGTCCCCTGCTGACCGGTCACACAGGCCGTTTGCTCCTTGTCACGATCGGGAAATAACGGGAAAATCCGTCGTTAATTCAGTGCATAAATAATGGACTAACAATTAGCATGAAAAACGTCAGTCAGTATTTGACTCAATGATAAATTGTATTTGCTGACAAGGTCATTATATCGACCAAAGACCTTACGAAATGATGACTTTAAATGAGACTGTTGATATTCTTGTTTCATCAACTTGCTTGTCAATAATATACCTCGTTTTAGAAATTGTTCATACGTAGAGCATGCTCTTGCGTATCGAATCAACTGAGATATATACACTCCGTATGCAGGTGATGAAGGAATATTGCTGCATAAGTAAGGGAAGTTGACGATAGAAAAGTTAAAGTCATCACCTTTATCATAGAGGTTAATTTTCAAATGACAATTAACGATTTTTTCAAGTAAAATGTCCAAGTATGAAACAGTCAATGTGATATAGTGTCTGCTTTTCATTCTCTGTGTAGCATTGAGGATACAGGAGTCACAACTGGTTGAAACACGCGAGTCAAACTGAAAAAGGTATGAGAAATATCAGGACCCATATAATTCTTTTAGGAATATATCATAAACACACCTCTGACTAGGTGGAAATATGAGGTTAAGAATTAGCCCTTTAGATGTCCATATATATTTCATGTTTTATCACATTCAAGAACATTTATATTGAAAAATAATTTCTCTGATTGTTCATATCTCTGCCCTTTCTCATAAAAAATATTATACTAGTTACCAAAAACCAATTCTTATTGTAAATCCATTTAGTTAAAACACCACATACCACCTTATTCCACCCTCATCCCTACCCCACCCCCATGAAATATTTTAAAAACTTACTGTATTCCTCTATCAGGTATTCACTAGAAGTTGTCTTTTTATGACTTGTTAAAGAGGACCACACTGGGGATGGATTAATATGATATGCACACTGGTAATCCTTCTGATCTAAAAGGAACAAAATACACCTGTTTCTATATCCAACTTTCTGTTTAGTATTTCTATATGCAAAAGAGGCATTCTAAAGACATTTAAACATGTTTATCATGACAGAAACTGTGAATCTTTATTTGTGTTATTACCTTATCTATATTCAAGTTAAATTACCTTTGTTAGGGAAAGTTGAACAGGGTGGAGGTTTTTGTTTTTTGATGTAACAATTGAGAATTATTACTATACATGCAGATACAACGACCAAGGTGATGAAAACAAGTAGAATTACTGGTAATGCTGGCACATTATGTTGGAATGTAATCGTGCTCGATTCTAGAAGAGATAAAAAGATTGAGTTTGTTATGTAATTCAGAACTATTAAAGCTGCAAAATCAAAGATCATTAAGGGTCCCACTTTGTGACGGGTGTCCTATAGGGATCAGTCTGTCCATCCAATTAGTCGATTAGTTGATAACTAAAACTTCATTCAGTTATAGTTGTTCAAACACAAAAAAGATAATATTGTCAAGATTAAATGATAGCTTGCTTTAATATAATATGATCTACATTATTTTTATCCCACTGTCTTGAATTAAGTCTTTTACCTCTTTTAATTAGGAACGCTTCATGTACAGAAATAATTCCACTGTCATTCACAACGCACTGAATTGTTTTACCAAAATCGTCTTCTGCTATATTTTTAATTTTCAGCTTGCATTCATGTGTTAATCCATGGTCACTAACAAGATAATAAAGAAATGCACACATTAATAAATGTTTCTCAATGATTTTCACAACTAGATTTGTAGACAGAAGCAAAAATATCTAAACATTCATCCTAACGTTGAACTTTGATTTTCATCATCCTTCTTGAATGTATAAAGAAATTGTATCTTTCAAAGTTATTAAAATGTATTTTCAATATCTATCAAGAAGCAATTTTTCTTTCATAAAAAGTTTATTCCAACTAACCTGATGGTACAAGGCAAGTTCTCCCTGTGTTTAGCATAGGTTTTCATGGAGACGGAATGATTTTCATTAACTTTGTCACAAGAGAAGTAATGTTTACAAGTGAACACTGGCGAGTCACCTACAGCCAGGTTGGTCAAATTCTGGGGCTCAATTGATTCCGAATGGTGTCTACATTCTTAGAACAGAAAAAGACTTCAATTATGAATAATAAACCAGACCATTCACCCATATAAAACTAAGCGGTGTGCTTACAACATGTATATGGTAAAATATGAAATCCTGTGCATTTATTTTCAAGATGAATTGGTTTTTTGGCAATACTGTAAATTGATATAATTGCACTAGACTAAAAAAAAATAAATTCTAAGTGATCATAATACAAGATTATAAACCTATTTATGTATGTAATCAGTTAAATCAGAATCTGAAAGTACTTCTTATTTCTTCACATTTACAAACTGAAACGCAAATTCAATAAACATTTTTAAAGAAAAGAATTGTCAATATGGAGTAGGATTGCATTTTCTTAAGTAACTACTTCACTTACGAAAGGCTTTAACGATGTAACTTTTACAAACATGTTCTGACTCGTCTCCTAGAACAACTCTGCACTCATACGTGATGTTTTCTTTAAGGTTTTGGACACTTTGCACCAGCAATGTATCACCATTATCTACCAGAAGCGGACCCCACTCGTCTTTAGATATAATTTCAATTAAGGATCCATTTTTATACCATCGTTTGGATTTACTTAAACTGTCTTTCGAAAGGCAGTCACAATTCAGCTTGACTTGTGTTGTATATTCAACATATCTGATATCCCCACTGAGGCCTGAAATTAAAAAAAATCTATAAAAAATTTGAAAATAAAGAACAGCATGCTGACTCGCGTTTTCCATATCAATTGTTAGGCCATTATTTACATAGTGAATTGTCTACAGATTTGTCCCTTATTTCTCGATCATGACAGGGAGCATAAGACGAGTGTAACCGGTCGGCAGGGGGATGCTTACTCCTCCATGGCACCTGATCACACCTCTGATGTTTTAAAGGTCTGTGTGTTTGCTCTGCTTCTATTCTGTATTGTCTAATGGACCTTTGTGCTTAAATACAGATCGTTATCTATAAATATTTCAACCTAAGAATTTTTAAACTTACATCACCATCCTCAAGACGAAATAAAGAAACGGCTTTTTGTCATCCTCTTCTTCAATAAATGGAGATTGTTTTAAAATTTGTATACATTTTCACTGGTCATTCGCAAACATATTACGTTGACTAAACCATTCTAATTTTGCACACAAGTACTCCGAAGTTGATATGAAAAAAAATACTCGGGATTCTTATTGACAATAACCGTTGCTGTAGTTGAACATGTTTTCCAAAAACTATTCGATTCTCATGCGATTTGGGTACTTATTTTGTGCCATTTTTAATTTGCAGACCAGTTTTAAGATATGAAGCAGAATTATACAATTAAAATCTTCCATATGAAAAGAAAAGTTTTTGGTGTTGCCATAAATTTGAGATCAAGGACGATTTTTTCAATTGAATGTTTTCATTCTTAGTCTAACATTTATTCGATATACATGTATTCAATTCAAGTAGAAAAGAACATGTTCTACGTTCGAAAAATAAAAAAAAAACTATCTACTGAAAATAAAGTTTATGATATAAAAGAAAATCAACATTTTCGCTTATTAGATTCAGCACTTCACAAATTCCACGGAAACATGCAAATGAATTCAGGGTGGAATATGAATTAACGACCAAACATGACCAAAAAAATATAACTTAAAGTCAGCAGGGATTTAATCAATTAAAAACGTTCTGTAAAAATTATAATTATCATAACACTTCTGATTGCATTTAGAATTGTCTTTAATACAGAATGTGAGCCATTTAGTAGTACAAAGTAATTTATCAATCACAGATTTTAAAACTTTGATGAAGTTTCAAAATATTTTCTTTATCGCAATATATGCATGTCGTGCATTTTTAATGGCGTTCTTTATTTTAGGAAGAATTGTTATTTAGTTCAATGGAAGAAATAACTTTTTTTTTTTGCTTTATATTCCTTCAAAAAAATTCACTAATATTGAGAAGCTACCACTTGTCGGTGTAGGGCTGCCAACTTATAGACCTTGACTCGTCATGAACGGATTTTTTTAGTGCCAGTACGTACAGCTACCAGCTGACTCCTGTTTACATGCTCTCAGAACCGGTCTGCAGTCCTGCATGTTTTTATTTTACAAGGAATTTTTTCATTTGTCATTTGTTATTTGATGCATATATATTTCTCTTTTATGATAGAGTAAGAATGTTTGAATACAGAGAGAGAGAGAGAGAGAGAGAGAGAGAGAGTATCACGAACCTGTTGCAGCTGGTGTAAATATTGCAAAGAAGAAAACAATCATTTTCTTTTGCTTGGATTTTCTTAGAAAAATCACATTCAAGACTGTTTTATATATGCTTAACAGTCATGGATTCCCGCTTTTTAATTTTAATTTATAATACGTCATTCAATGGTGTAAATTTAACTTCTCAACAAGGGGGGTTTCTAAGATGAACGCGAATATAAATAGAATGACTTCATCATTGCCTTTAAAGGAAGTAAATGATATAATTAATAGGCCGAAGCGTGGTGCAGATGAAACAGTAGTTTTAAATTCGCTGTTTCATCAATGACATTGAAGTATTCAGACATTATTAGTTGTCAGACAAAACACAATCAGTTAAATATTGCATAAATAACAAAAAAAAAATAACATAATAATAACAAAAATTCCTGGTTGTTTAAGATAAAATTTACAAAAATTTTCATTCATGATAAAATCAACTGAGGTTTGTTATCTTTATAGTGACGTACTTCTTGTCAAAATCCTTACTAGTAGCCTGGGCTAATTAAAACCGGAGATCAGGAAATTCAAAAATGTAATCTAATAGATGGGATTTTCTAATCTGATACTTTAATTTTTACACGTTTTCTTCTCTTATAAGAAAGTTCATGCATAATGCATTATAGACTTTAAAAAAAAAAAAATTGTGTAATAATACATGTATCATAAGGTATTCCTGTTTCAAATTCTGCATACTTGCAAAATTTTATTCGTGAAGGCAACTGTCATCAGCCAAAAAAAAAAGTGTTTCATTTCATAAATTGGATGAAATAACATTTGGAAATAAGAATGGTGATGGCTTGATTTGATTGGATTACAACTAACTAGAACATAAACAAAACATTCTCACAACATCCACGAATAGGCTAAGCACCCTTGACGTTGTAAGGATGAAAACAAACCTGTTTCGTCGTTTTAATTTTCAAAAAAAAACATGCAGTAATATTTGCGGAAAATAACCCTGTTTGTTAATTTTTAGTTATTTTGAGTTAGTTTAACGATTTTATTTAGGTTTGGACTGTGAGGAAGAAAAATTTAAGGAAGTATGCAGTGCTTTTGTCATTCCTTTTAGTTAAGTATGATAAACACGGACAAAATTCGCATGTCAAGTTTATGTCTATTTTTAGTATTTTATCTCTTATCAATAATCGTTCTTCTTACAGGGCCTAGAAAGGACATATAATGTATATTGTATACCTTTTTCCTGAGCTAGAAATATAAGAGTACCTAGGTTTAAACTTAATTAATTTGAAGGATTGAGATTTTTTGTGATCATATGTTCATTTGTTCATGATCGGACAAACAATAAGTTCATTTCTTTTATCCCGACTTGATGGGCGGAGTTATAGAAAAGTGTGGGTTATGTACAGAAAACCCACACTTTTTTTTCACACCTAACTATGGTACAACAAAACCAGTAACATTCGACGATGGATTGTATTTGCTGAATAGTCATTATATCTTTGTACTTTTCACTGTTTAGATTTTTTCACCCAAATCACTTGACAATGCCATCTAATTACCTCGGGTAAAGGAGTTCTATTTCTTTTACAAATAAAGAGCAATTAATGATTTCTCGAGAAGTGAAATAGTGACGAAAGACAAAAAGGGCGAATGTTTGAAAAACCCTCTCGAACAAACATAAAATATAATCCTAAAATAAAAATCATTTCAGTTATTGTTATGCCATTTTGTACATGTACATGTCTGTAGACGGATTTTTACGTTTGTCCAACACTCTGCGGGTGTAAGACACCGGGCGACAGGAGATGTTTACTCCTCCACGGTACTTGATCCCAGCTCTTAGGGCATTACACATAAAAACTGATTACGGCAAGGGCAAACGAAACGTTTTCAATATAAGCACTTGTAATTTATATCTATCGAAGACAATACATCCGTTTCCCGAACACTCATTAATACAATATACTATGAACACTGAAAAGCTTTAATTTTGTGGTAACTTTATGCAGTTAGAGTGGCATGCTCTTATACTTATATGTTTAATAAAATACTTACATTATAATGAAAACTACACATGATTATTCAATTTTTGATTAATTCAAGAGTTAACATTATTAAATTGAAAACTGTAAGTGAATGTTTCTTTTCTATTTATTTAAGCATCAGTAACTTTTGTCATCAATGCTTTATTATCTTCGAACATATTTCTTTTGGAAATAACTAGTAAGTGTTAAATGATATACCGGAAGGTCATATTTTTCTTAATGAAAGAAAAACTTAAGGTTGATAGTCAAGTTGTTGTACACGTACTTTTTTATATGCTTCTCTTCCGTCCTGGTATAATCTGCCTTAGTCTACACCATCCATTTTAATTTATTATCGGTGAAATCCCTATATTTGTAGCAATTAGCTAAAGCATATAGAAAAATTGTTAATTCTTAATATAATTTTTAATATAATTTTTATTCAACTTAATTGCTATAAAGTTAAAAACATATTGTTGATTTTCTTAAATGTAAATAATCTTGATTACGAAACCTCTTTTTCGACATCGTGTTTCCCCCTGAATTCAATAAAATTACATTATTCTTTTTAAAGCAGTGAAAAAATTTTTTTATGTAAGATTTTCAAAAAATAAATCTTATTTTCCCAGATGATAATTATAGCAAATTTGATATGATTTATTGAAAACATCAAAGGAAATTTCAAAAATCACGTCAAAAAAATTATCATCACTACGTAATTTAAAATTTATTCAAATGCATGTTTGGTTGTAACATAAATTTTTGTAAACCTGATACAAACTTTTGTAAGAAATAAACAGTGTAAATTTCATAAAGTTGATTGAAATGTTTGTATAGCTAGGGGTTATGTATATTTAAACATTTTAATAAAAATTAACATGATTTTGTTATTGTATATTCGTTTTAACTGATCAATACAGATCGAAAATTTTATTTAAAAAAGGCATTTTAATGTACACTTGCTTTTACGTTCAAGTATGTGTACCAAATTTTACCTTTGTTGGTTATCAAAAGAACAGATATATTAGAACTACTTACCTAACGTCACTCTAGTCATTACACTATTTAAAAAAATCTTTAAAAAATCAAGCGTTTTCTGAAGTTTTTTCTTCACTTTTAAATATAAGTATGTAAAGTATTAATGGCCGTTTTTAACAGTTATTTATTACAAAATGCTGTATACAATTGAAATATACGCTTTAATCCTTTTAAAATACTCTCCTTTATATATTTTGTTTACCAATAAAAGTTATGAAGATTGTAAATTACATTTGAATAAAATTCGTGCATAAAGTTATTTTATAATTATTTATTATCCTGCAAGGAGAATAATGTCTATTTTTAAAAAGTGTGGGTTATGCTACTTTTAGAATAAACAAACACTTTTAACAAAAGAAAGATCACACCTTTTGACATGGATGGCGTGTTACTATTAATATAACTTATCTTTAAATGTAATCAGTATCAACCATCTATACTCTGTTATGACGCATATTAACCTTTTATTAATAATCGTTGAAAAATCATTATATCTTTAATTTCCCGTACATTTCATGTTTAGATTTGTTTACGCACTTCCAAATCACTTGACAATGCCATTGTTCTAATTATAACGAGTTTTATAGTTAAATTTTGTGGAAATATTATTTTTTCTTTTATGTGTTTCAAATAAAATCATTTTGTTTCTACAAATCGTGAATATATATTACTTTAAACAAAAAGGGCGAATGTTTGAAAAACCCTCTCGATAATCAATGTTTGTCCTTATCCTCCCAGTTTTAAATATAACTGTGTATCTCGAATAATTGATCCAAAAGATTACCTTTTTGTGTGAGTTTTTCTATTTTATGCCATTTTGTTTATTCATGTCATTTTCAAAAGGTTTATTTCCCCAAGGGAACTCTTTTACTGTGTTTAATACGCATGCGCTTTAAATTTAAAGTCACTTCCACAGTTCTTGATGTAAACATGTTCATAGGGCATGCCTCTGTCATAAAAAATGTTATTGTGTTTGTGAAGGGCAAAATCTTAACTGATTCGTTTTTTTTTAAAAATTAAGCACTTGTAATTTATATTTGTATTAATCTGTATAGACATAATAAGGCGTGTGTGAGCCCCCCCCCCCATTAATACAATATACTATGAACAGAAACAAATTTAATTTTGTGATAAAATGCTATGCATATTCGAATAGGCATTTTAAAAAAAAAAGCTAATTTTTATATGTTTAATAAAATACATCATTATTTGAAAATGTACAACAAATATAAGTTTTTTGTTTTTGATTAATTCAAGAGTTAAGCATTATTAAATCTGAAAACTGTACATGTCCATCTACAGTTTTACTTTGCTGCATTTATTTGGCGGAAGCATCAGTAAAATTGTCAAAGTTAGCATAAAACATAGTTTTGTTCGAAAATGTTTAAAATGTTTGGAAATATTTTTACCCTACAAAATTTTAAATGATATACCGGAAGGTTCATATTTTTGCCCTGGAATGAAAGAAAAACTTAAACTTGATAGCCCCTCAAGTTGTTGTACACGTACTTTTTTATATGCTTCTTTTACTTACAAGAACACATTTGGTACAATTAAAGGCCTTTTCATTTGTTAACTGTTTCACCATTTTTCATTTTAATAATTATTCACTGCGTATAGTATTAAAACTTTGAATGGATATTTGTAGCAATTTAGCATAAAGCATATAAAATAGAAAAATTGTTAATTCTTAATATAATTTTTAATATAATTTTTATTCAACTTAATTGTACTATAAAGTTAAAAACATTTTGTTGATTTTCTTAAATGTAAATAATCTTGATTGATACAATAATTTCCTCTTATTTCTTGTTTTAATTCAATAAAATTACATTATTCTTTTTAAAGCAGTGAAAAAATTTTTTTATGATAAGATTTTCATAAATTCTGTACCCTCTAAATCTTATTTTCCCAGATGAAAATTATAGCAAAACATACATTTACTCTAATGGCGGATTAAGAACGGCGCGTAGGGCGAGCAATCCCCTCCCAAATGTTTGTCATCTTTGAACCTCCCATGTTTTAGAAGTTCACGATCCGCTACTGTGTATCTTGAGTCATAATTGATCCAAAAGTTTACCTTTTTGTGTGAGTTTTTCTGATTTTACTGGATATTTTGTTTATTAGTTGATAATTA